TTTTTTTGTTGGGTCCTTTCCTGGTTTGAGGAAAAAGGGATATTTGCTTCAAAGAATGTGTTAGGAAGTGTTCCTTCTCTTTCTATGTTTTGGAAAAGGTTATATAATCCTATGCAGCTATAAAAAAGGGTGGAGACTTTACATCTTTTATTTTTACCTGGATAGAACTGAAATATATTCTTTTTAGTAAAGTTCTCAAGAATGGGAAAAAAATATCCAATGTGTTCAATACTATTTTGAAACCAATATATAATCACTTACACATTTATACAAATGATAAAATGCAATTATAATCCAGAAAGAAGGAGGGAAGAAGGGGAGAGGATAGTAGGAGGGAGGGTATTTGGTGGTACCTCACCTTACGTGCACAATGCAATGGCACATTTCAAATCTATTAAGAGTAGAGTATAAATGTCTGACCACAACAAATAAGTGAGCTGATCGTTATGTTAATCAGTTTGATGTAAGCATTCCACATTGTATAACAAATAAGCACACTGTACCCCGTAAGTGTTATGGGGCACAGTTATGGTTTAATAAAAATAAATTAAGCACATTTCCATGTATTTCACTTGATTTTTGCAGGGAGGTATGTGGAGATTTACATCAGTGGTATTTTAGAGTTGTTTCAAAATACTGGCCTTATCACAGAAATAACTGAGAGGAAAAGGAAAGAAAAGAACTAATTCCTCATCTTTTAGGGACCTAATAGACATGCTCCTTGGAAAACTGCCAGCATTTTTTTTTTCTGGCAGACTGAAGTCAGCAGCTTCACTTACAAATTTCTGAAGGAAGCCACAATAATCGGAAACAATCACACTTCAGTTAAAATTCATGAATTATGATATAAGTACTGTAAAAAGAAGGAAATTGCCAGAAATTATTCATGACCATAAAAAAGCCCACGTGGGGAGTAGCTAAATTATATTTGTATTAGCAAAAAAGGAAGGCGCCATTGCTACTTTCTAATTGATAGGTTCTAGTTGGGAACTTTAGGCATCTGTGAGATTTCTGCAATTTTCATTAAGATGCTTTCTGCTGCAAATAACAGAATGCCCAAACAGAAAGGGACCTAACAATAGAAAGCTCTTTTTATTACACATAGGAAACTCTTGGGAAGGTATTTATCAGCTTTCCTGTAACTCTTGGCTCTTTCCCCAGTTTTCAAGATGGCTGTAGAAAGTTTAAGCCTTATATCCACACAGGAGAATGTTCACAGACAGGAAGCCATATAAGCATAACCTTCACACATTTCACTCTTCTTGATAGCGAGAACAATGTCTCCATGAGCCACCAGATTTCTCCTCACATTCTCATTGGCCAAGAGTGGATCACATGTCCACACCATAGCTGCAAAGGAAGTTGGGAAAGTGATAGTATCACTCCACTTTTACTCGGATTAGAATTAGGAGGTGGAGATGATGACAGGAACAGAAATTTTCTGATGAGCAAGAAGGAAAGAGGAGGAGGAAATTGTCAGTAACTCATTCTCTGAGTTATAACTTAACAAACTGTACATTGAGAAATATACTTTGATCCCAAATACCTATATATGAGTGTCCTTATCCCTCCCACATCCCTATCACACCTGCATTCATAATCCATACTCTTTATACTATTTCATGAATAAATAAGTCTGAATTGGCACAGAAATAAATGACTCTACAAAGTTTTAATAAAGCTCTGAGGACCACCTTGACAGGGGTGAATAACGGAAATAAAGATACCAACTCAGCTTCCCATGGTTATCTGTTTATGGCTCCACCTTAATGCAATAGCTTTAATTGTTATTTTAACACATGTGTGTTTTGATGTATCATTATAGTTCTTTCTAATTACGGGAAAAATTTGTAACTGCCAATATTTTACATTAATATCATTTTAAACTTAATATTAAATAAAACTGTTTACATTTTCCAGATACTATACACTGGAGTGTAGTGAATTGTAATCTCTAGTGTCTATCAAATCCAGTGGGTGAGATGTGGCTGAAGGTTACCTATGTGCTGGTACATCCATTTGGATTGCTGAGCCATTGTTATCTCTTTGATTTAGAACTAATAAAGTTCTACTTAAAAATTATTTGTAAGCTTAATCCATGGCTAAGAAGAATTCTTTGGTGGGAAGATTTTATAATTTGGAGTTATAATTTAGTCTGAATCTTAATACTACCATTTAATATTAAGCCAGGGGACTGAGGGCAAGTTAGCTCTCTTCCCCCATAATTTTATTTTAATGATGTTGAACATGTGAATTTTGAGAGATGAAAAGCTCACAAAGTCACATGAGCTCTCCGAGTACATATAAGATTTCTAAGAGCTATCACTATCTTTCCTTTCTCACATTTTTCATCCTAGTGCCTTTACATTAGTATTCCATGATTTTCTTAGCCAAGGTAGGTTGTTTCCAATGCTCTGTTATAGTAACTACCATTCACGCCAAAGATACTTGATTTATCGTAATGTTCCCATAGAATAAATTTTAGAAACTGAGGTGATGAACACAGATATACACATATGTTTGCTTCTCAAGAAATTTTGCCAGGTTTTATTTTTCCAATGCAATTATAATAATTTATACACATATTGCCAGGTACAATGTGTCACTGTACCAGGTTTGAAACACCTCGACAAATTTAGAGATTTGTTTTTAATTTTGGCAAATATATCAAGCATAAATTAATAGAAGGGAGTTTTAAAATTTGTGATAGTTTTGTTACTCAGAAGGATACATTTTTTTATTATTTTTAAGAACAACGTTATAGTTTTTGTGAAAAGGTGGCAATGTCATTATAAATAAAGTAAAAGCTAATAATAAACTTATAAATAATAACTTAAGAAGCCAATCCAAACTCTGTCATCTAGGCATATTTCATTTCAAACTTAAATAAACACTTATTTCCGAAGTCTCAGTCTTTCTTTCTGTCTTCCTCCCACCGTCCCTCTCCCCTCTCACACATATCTTAATACAAAATGTTGACTAAGAATAAATAAAAATATAAAGACAGAAATTTATACAAATTAAATCATCTTCTATAACTAATTTTTGTCTTTAAAAGGATGGCTTTTGATTAATAGAATCAATAGAGTACAAATCAGACTAAATACTTTCTTTTTTTGTAATTTGGAAAACTCACATTTTCACCATAGACATTATTATTATGCTTCTAAATGATCCCCCTAAAACTAAGTCAAAATATTATAAGAATCATCATTATTGTTTATAATCTACACATTTTAGGATGGGGACAGTGGCTCGACCCTGTAATCCTAGCACTCTGGGACTCTGAGGCGGGTGGATTGCTTGAGCTGAGGACTTCAAGACCAGTCTGAACAAAAGTGAAACCCTGTGTCTGCTAAAAATGCAAAAATGAGCTGAGCAGAGAGGCTGAGGCAAGAGAACAGCGTGAGCCCAAGAGATGGAGGTTGCTGTGAGCTATGATGCCAGAGCACTCTACACAGAGCAACAGAGTGGGACTCTGTCTCAAAAACAAAAACAAACAAACAAAAAACTACACATTTTACCACTCATTTTAGTCTTTCTACATTATTTTATGTTT